TTGGGGGAATCCAGGAAGGTTTTCCAGAAGAGGTGATATCTCAGCTAAGTCTTGAGTTAAAGGAGTTTTCCAAGGAATGACAGAGAATAAAAATATATTCCTGCCCAGACGGTATGGCTCAGTGGATTGAGCATTGTCCCATACACTGAGAGGTCGCTGGTTCGATTTCCGGTCAGGGCACATGCCTGGGTTGTGGGTTTGATCCCCAGTAGAGGGCGTGCAGGAGGCAGCTGATTGATGTTTCTCTCTCACATCAATGTTTCTATCTCTCTCTCCTTTCCTCTCTCTCTAAAAAAAATAAATAAAAACATATTTAAAAAAAAGATATTCCTCGCCAGGGGCAGGATAAGGTTTCAAGGAAGTGCATGGCATGATGGAAAATGACGATGTGTTCTTGTGGGGCTGAGCACAAGATACAGGGTTGGGAAGGACCAGTAAGAAAGCTGGTAGACTGTGGCCTGACAGCAAAGATCCAGATCTATTGAATGACTTGGGAATTGATCTGGAAAGCAATGGAGTACCATGGAGGAAGGAGGGATATTGTTCAAGTGATGTTGTCAAAGTTTTACTCTGATAGCTGTGGGAGCAATGGGCTGGATAGGGGAAAAGACTTGAGGGCTGCTGGACAACCACTTCTCCTAAGGGAAGGAAGTCACATTCTATTCCTCATCTCCATATTTGGCAACTAAGGGAACTCCATAGCAGGCCAAGAGAAGTGTCCCCAAACCTGAGAGAGAGGGCCTGACTCAACTAGTTCTTGGCTTGGAGGACAGCAGCAATGAGTACATACTTTGTTCTGTATGCCCAATTATACCGTAAACGCATTTTACTTAAGCAAGACTTTACATATAGGTCTTACCCAGTATATTAAATTGTAAACTCCATTTGGCTTGTACTTCTTCCCTCCTAGGGCTGAGCAGCCTCTGGCACATAGTGGGTGCTCAATGAACATTTATTAATCTGAAACAAGGACATATTTTTTATCCTCACTGAGGACATTTTTGCGTTTATCATCAGATAGAATGGGAGGGAGAGAGGGAAGAAGAGAGAGAGAGAGAGAGAGAGAAAGAGTATGTGCCCTTAGCAGGAACCAAACCTGGGACTGTCTGGTCCAGAGGCCGATGCTCTAAACACGGAGCCAAACCAGCCAGGGCTGAAACATGGACATTTTTACAGTATCTGGGCAGTTGCACATTCACTGCTGACCCTAAATGAGACCCAAAGTACTGTGTTCTCTAAAAATATATATATATATATATTGCATGGGATTTATTCAGAGGCTTCAAATTTTTCAGTTTTGGTTCAGCCAGTTAAGAGCCATATGGCTGTGGACAAGCCACATAAACTTTGCTGAGACTCAATCTGCTTATCTATTAATACAAAACAAAACACTACAATTTTCTAAGAGCATGAGAGTACACCTGGTAGCAATTTGCAAAGTGTAAAGTACTATATAATCAAAAGTGATCTATCCATAAAATGGAATACTATTCATCCATAAAAAGGAAGTACTGATATATGCTATCACATGGACAGATCTTAAAAACATGATGCTAGGTGAAAGAAACAAGACACAAAAGTTCATATAGTGCATGATCCAATTTATATAACATGCCCAGAATAGGGAAATTGATAGATACAGAAGCAGACTAGGCCCTGGCTGGGTAGCTCGGTTGGTTAGAACATCATCCCAATATGCTAAGGTTGCAGGTTCAATCCCTGGTCAGGGCACATACAAGAATCAACAAATGAATTCATAAATAAGTGGAACAACAAATCAATGTTTCTCTCTCTTTCTCTCTCTCTTCCCCCTTCTTCTTTCTCTCTAAAATCAATAAATAAAAATAATTAAAAAATAAAGTAGATTAGTGAGGAGAAGGGAAGGAACTTTGATTGCTGAATGGGTATAAGGTTTCCTTTTGGGATGATGAAAATGTTCTAGAACTAGAGAGTGGTAATGGTTACACACCACTGTGAATGTACTAAATGCCACTGAATTTAAAATAGTAAATTTTATGTTTGTAAATTTTACCACAATAAAAAAAAGAAAAAAAAGTGCTATATGAGGGTTAATCATCCTGAGAAGTTATTGATTCTTGCATTCTACATGCAGCCCCAATCCATTTTTTGGTGTTCAGAAAATTTACAGAGTCTCCACTAAGGAGACTCTTTGGAAGAGAGGAGCTGGAGTAGGGTGGGGGAGAGAAGGAGGAACTACAGCCCATCTGAAAAGAGAAGCTGGATGGTATTTGTTTCTCAGATTGCCAGTTGTTCACCCTGTTTGTATTTAAATGAAAGAAGGCTTTGAAGCAGGAGCCGCCTCTAAGCAGAGCTTGGGGTTCCTGCCTTGTGTTGTAAAGTTCAGACTTGTCCAGATCTGTTTATAGCCAGAGGTTACTATTTCTGGAGGAAAAGGCTAAGGTTTTGGTTAATAACATATGAATAGGAAGAGCAGGAGTAAATTGGAGGGAAAGAAATGACTTTTCTCTGGACTTGGTGTGAAAAGAAGCTTTTTGATTAGGGCTTCATGGTTTGGGAGAGTCTTTTTCTCACTTATGGTCACTGGATTGCATTTTATTTTGTTTTTTAAAAATATGTTTTATTGATTTTTTTGTTTTAGAGAGTTAGGGAGGAGAGATAGAAACATCAATGAGAGAAAAACATCCATTGGTTGCCTCCTGCACGCCCCTACTGGGGATTGAGCCCACAACCCAGGCATGTGCCCCAACCAGGAATCAAACCAGTGACCTCTTGGTGCATGGGTCTATGCTCAACCACTGAGCCACACTGGCTGGGCTCATTTTATTTTATTTAAATTTTTAAATAATGTATTTTTCTCTAATACTGTACTATTTTTAAAATAACCTCACCTGATTACATTTTTCTATTGCTTTTTAGAGTAGAAGGGAGGACAGGAGAGAGAGAAACATCCATGTGAGAGAAACACATCGATTAGTTGCCTCCTGCCTGACCCTGACAGGGGTTGGGGATTGAACCAGCAACCAAGGTATGTGCCCTTGAACTGGAATCGAAATCATGACTCTTTGGTCTGCAGGCCCACAATATAAGGGCTCGGCCATACCACCCAGGGCTAACGTACTTTTTAATTTATTGATGTTCTTGTGTGTATGTGTGCGGGGAGAGAAACATTGATTTACTGATTTGTCGTTCCACTTATTTATGCATTCATTGGTTGCTCCTTGTATATGGGATCGAACTCACAACACTGGCCCATGGGAACGACGTCTTAACCAACTGAACTACCTGCCTAGGACTGGGTTTCACTTTATTATTAATGTTGCTTTCATGTCAGATCATATTCTCTTCGGTAATGAACATCTTTTAGTAAATGCATCAATCAATGAAAGTTAAAAGTGCTGGGCTAAGCCCTAGCAATGCTTTGAGGACCTGATGGTTTATCAGTGTGAGGAAAGCCTGTACTATTTGAAAGTCCCTTGGAAGTGGATGGAAATTCATTTCTAGTTGAGTTTGTATATTTAGAAAAACTCCTCTCCTAGTTGCAAAGTTAAATGTTCCGCCAATTAACAGAAATTCTAAGTCCGTTATAGACAGGTCACAATCTGTGTTTTAGGCTGATGATCTCCAACAGTTAATAAAATGTAGAAGAGTCTGCAGAGGGCATTCAAAACAGCAGCTATGCTAGTTTCTACAGCTCCTCACAGCCAAACCTGTCAACGTGGAGGAAGTCTCAACAAACCCTATAAGGGTGATGACTATAATGATGGTTCATATCTTCACCCTATGTAATTTTATGGTAATTGAGAGCCAAATAAGCTCTAGCCCCTTTTTACTGCCCAGTTCCCAGCACACTCTGGAAGTGTCTGAGAAACTTTTCCCTGCAACCTCTTAAAGCAGATTGGAACAATAACAACAGTATTGACAAGCTCCCAATCAGCACAGTTCCCTTCATTAAAGGAGCCCCGAAAGATTCCAAAACACTCATTAATGGAATCTGACAAAGCTTGGAAGGAGGGAAGACTTGCCCATTTCCAGTTTTCTGATGGCTAAGGGGAGACTGGGTTCCAGACAGGTGAGAGTAGAGAAGAATTGGGGGTCTTGGACTACCTTTATTCCATGGGACTCGGGAGTTGAGTCCCGTGTTCTGGACCCACCTCTTTAGCTGCATGCAATTAGCAAGTCGCTTCCCTTCTCTTTGCCTCAGTTTCCCTACGTGCAGAAGGAGGGTTTGGGCCAGTTTTCTAAGGTCAACCCTGACTTTGTCCCATTGCCTAGCAGTTGTTGTCCTTCCCCGCCCCACCCCACTTCAGTTTGGTTAGACTGGTAGCAGAACCAAGTGTGCTGTGGAGAGGCAGGGAGGCGAATGCCTGCCAGGGTTCTGAACAAGGTGGTGTTCCATGAGCACCATTAGGTGGAAGCAGGTCTGAAGAGCCCAGCTGAGGAGGCTTTAGGGCGAGTTCTGAGTCTCAAGTCCCCCTGGTGCCTGCAGACAAACAATATGAGTAGTAATGCCAGGCCCTTACCCTCCTGGCCCAGAAACTGGTCGGTTAGGAGCGACCTCTAAGGCAGCGGGAGTGGGGTAGGGCAGGTATCAAAGCCGTGAGTAGCGGGCCAGGTGGCCACACACAGAAGGCCTAGGACTGGAACATGGGCTTTCGGACAAGTCTCCAGCTGCTGGGTCACCCCGGACTTCGGCCCTTTATCCCAGGAAAATTAGCCTTTCCTCTCAGGATGGAGGACAGGGAGCCTCCGCCTCCCTGGAGGAGGGGAGGAAGGAGGAGTCCCGGTGGGGCGTGTCTCCGGAGGGAGCGCAGCGCGCCCGGTGCGGCCCCCTAGGAAGTGGATTTAGATGCTCCGGATCCAACTCCATTTCCAGGTTTTCTCCCATCCCGGCCCTACCAACTCCCGCCCGTCTCCGCCCCCCCCCCCCCGGGGCCGCCTGCCCCTACCCTGTGTGCCGCCCGCTGGGCCAAGTTTGTAGAGCTTCGTCCAGCTCTCCAGCCAGTGTATCAGCGGCGGAGCTGAGGAGGTCACAGCTGCGGGGCCGAGAGTGAGCCAGCCAAGGGGAGCCAGGACAGCGGAGCAGCGCCGGGCAGCCCGAGCCGCGCGCAGCGAGCGCCAGCCGCCGCCGCCGCTCACACCCACCGCGGGCCCCGCGGCTTCTGCCACCTTCCACTACTTCCCAGCGTCTCTGTCCCGCCGGCTGGCCGGCCAGCTCGCCCCACTCACTGCCCGTGCGGAGCCCCGAGATCACCAGTTCGCTCCTCCGCTCCCTTGGGCCACGCACCGTCTCTACACCCTCCTACTCCTTCCCCGGCGGGCGCCTGGTACCGGGGACCGTTGCCTGACGCGCGAGGCCCAGCTCCACTCTTCGCCCCGCGTCTCCTCCTCCTTCAGCTCTCCTCCCTCAACTCCTACTCCAACTCCCTCGCCCTCTAGCTCCACTCGCAAGACCCTGACTCCGCGCCTTTCGGCCTGCGCCCGCCAATTTCCATCCTGTCCCGAAGGTGGGAGCGCGTCCGTCCGGCCCGCATAATGGCACGGTTCGGCCTCCCCGCGCTTCTCTGCACCCTGGCCGTGTTCAGCGCCGCGCCGCTGGCAGCCGAGCTCAAGTCGAAAAGTTGCTCGGAAGTGCGACGTCTCTACGTGTCAAAAGGCTTCAACAAGAACGATGCCCCCACGCATGAGATCAACGGTAGGTGTGAGCCCCTGGGGGGGCGAGCCTAGAGACGAGGCATCCCAGAGAAAGGGCCACGGAAGCCCCCTCGCCCCGCCGCCCCCTACGCCTGACGCAGGTAGCCTAGAGGGAGAACTCGAGGGTGAGCCCCGGCGGCTTAGAAGGTTCCCGCGAACGCGGCGGTTCCCCGCTGAATTGCCTGGTGCCACTCCGGCACACTGACCCCCTCACTCCCCGTAGTCTTCCTGGTCCCAGGAAACCCCAGAGGACCCTGGTCCGCTGAGTGCACGTCACTCGCTCCCTCCCCTTTTCCGGGTTGAACTTCTTACTGGGCTCCCCGCTTTGTTGTGTGGGCGATGAGGGGCCGGGTCAGGGTGGACGTCGCCAGTGGAGTGATTGGGAGAGACTTCTAGAGGTTGCCAGATTCCGGGGAGCGCAAAACGTGGAACTTGAATTGATGTTTTATTGATATTGTTTAAAAACCTTCTGCCCACCTCTCTCGCACCGTTGAGACGGATTAGTTTTAGTAGCTACAGCGGCTTTAGGAGTCGCCTTTAAAAAGTAAAAGACTTTCCATCCCTCAAACCTGACTTGGGAACTGTCCTGTTTTCCGGAAGTTGTGGGACGAGAAGGGTCTTTGGCCCCTTTCTTTTTTTCTCATCTCATTTTAAGGGTTAATTGCACACTGACTTACAAACCTTTGAGAGGACTGATTACAGGAAACCTGAATCTCAGCTAGGAGGTGGTTATGCAAATAGATACTATTTAGCCTGCAAAAAATTCCCTAGATTTCGGCCCTTGGGGTAATGTCGGGGGATTTGTGAAAGCCTTTCTTGGAGCACCAATGAGGTAGCTTTCGGGCCTGCACCCTTCACCTCTCCTCGAAAGGCCCGCGGAGGTGGCCAGGCAGGTACCCAGCCGGGTTGCACTCTTCTCATTCTCGGAGGCCAATTGTTGAGCGCAGTCTGGTGGGCTGCGCTGGGTCCAGAGGCCGCGCAGGTAGCCCATTCGCATGGAGGGTTCAGAAAGAAATACGAATCATTGCTGGCTGGTGTCCAGCATAACTTAACGGAGAAGTGAGAGATTCGAGCCCAGGGGCCAAGCCTCCATTCTGAACCTTCCGTGGAAGTGAGCAGAGCCCCTCTTTACCTGGAGGTTATGGTCACTCAGGTGGGGCGAGCAGGGGGCCGGCAGTCGGCAAAGGAAATACTGTAATTTCAAGCAGACACTTCCAAAAGCTTAGGAAGACTTGGGGGTCATATTTTGGAAGGACTATTAATAACCTTGGAGATTAAGTGCAGCCATCAATTACAAAGGTAATTGAGGGAAGTTTCTGGGCACTTTCCGAGTGTAACCAGCATCTGTCTAGAAATAGAACCCAAGAAGTTGTTGGAGCAGCGTTGAAGCCCACTGCACCCTGGCAGTTATCAAATAATTCGCACACTACTGACTAGAGACTGCCCTTGAGGTGCCTGTCCTTTTGGGAGCTCAAGTATGCCCTAACAGCGGCATGATTTTATTGGTGATAGAGCCCTGAAAAGCCCTTTCTTTCCACCATTCTCCCTCCCGCCCAGGAAGAAAAAGCGAAGTGAACCAGCAGCCAGTGAAGCTTGGGGGCTCCACAGGTTAGACCTGGTGCCTTTGTGCCCTGCACAGTTTGAGCCTGGGCCCAGGGGAGATGATTGGAGAGAAGGTTAAAGTTGTCATACCAACATTTTGAAGGGATAGATGCAGTGATGCACTTAATGGGAATGTGACAAGTTTTCATTTTCTGCTCCTGCAAACGATATGTGCCTTTGAGATGGACTGGAGGTATTCAGGGAGTGGGTTGTGAATTGGCCCTCCCCACTTACTCCAATTGTGCCCTGTGTAGTCTAGCAGCTGCAGCACATCTTCCCCAGGCAGCATCTCAGGAAAAAAAAGTTTGATGAGTGCTCAAGGGCTGTACTAGGTGTTCCCTTTGATTGTCATGACCCCCAGAAAACACCTGAGGAATATTTTTGATGGAATGTCTACCTGGATATTTTCCTTCCAAAGATAGGAGAGTTACTAGTGACCAGCAGCAGGAAATGGAAGCTAATGTGCTCAGACCCAAAACAATTTATTCTTTTTGTCTTGTCCTTCATCTCCCTCCCAGGGCTGCTGCTTTTATTTCCCCTTTTGAATGACCTACTGGACTGCATTCTCCTGAGGAACAAAGGAAGTGCCTTTTTAGCTGGAATCCTTGGAAGACCACCAAGGATTTTAGCTCATGCAGTGCAATTTCGCACCACTTTCAACAATAACAAAAATGCATGACTGAATGGCTCAAAAATGTGGAGTGTTAGAGGCATTCATTTGAGGCTAGGACACTGTCACAACACAGACAGACCCAAGTAAATATCTTTAGATGGCCAGTATAGAAACAGGGGTAATCTTTACTGTCAGCTTGGCCTCTCCAGATGCATACATTAGCCTTGTCTTCCCTGGGCTACACTGGAATAATTTTGGTCATTTTGGGGAGTATAATCAGTATAATGACTTGTATTCAGCTTATGTTTGAATGAATTAATTGATGGGCACTTTCCCTGGTTGTGGGGGGGTGGTTATATATAGACATAGACATAGACATAGACATAGACATAGACATAGACATAGACATATAGATACTGTATTTGTAAATGCAAAAGTCCAGGGTCAAAGTATCGGGGGTGCCTAGCCTCAGGCCTAGCCCAAGTTTAAGGTTTTGTTCCTAAAGGCCTTGCACTTGCCTTCTGGAAGTTTGAACAGGCCATAACAATACTCCATATTCTTAAATACTCTCAGTCTTTTTATATCACAATTAAGATAATTTGATATGCTCTCAAGGATGTCAGGGAGTGCATCATGCTGACAGGGGTTCCAAATGAAGTCCGGCAGGTATCCCTGGACTTACCCAGTAATGAGTAGCCAAGATGCCATGATCACAAGGGGTCTTTAACACAAAGGATAGGTTTTTGTTTAACCATCAATGGACATATCTTTTTGGAGTGCCTAGTATGTGCAGTATTCTGTGTTTGGCATAGTGGAGGAAAGAAGGACAGGAGGGGCCTCTACCACTAAAACCTTTCCTGGTAGTAGAGAGATAAGCCATGTACATACATAGTTGGAATACAATATGGTGTGATAAGTACCATGTGAGTGGCACAGATCAGGAGAAAGGAGTACCCAGGAAGTTCCAAGGGAGAAGGGATTTGGGACTCAAGTATTAGCTAGGTACTGCTAGTTGACTAATAACATAATATTAAAAAGAAGTTTTAAAACCTAACCGTTTTCATTGTGCCTTCCTCCATAAAGACAAGATAAAGGATATGCAATAATTGGCATTTTATTACTAATCTGTTCTTTGTTGAAATTGTCTTTAAGAGTGAGATGGTTAGAAACATTCTTAAACTTGCCAAAGGTCCCTTCCATAGTGACATCGAATGATGTCAATAAAGAACTGTGTGTTATAGTTGTGATTTTGAAGTTTTTGTTTCCTGTTCCCATCTATGTTCATGAGCAATACACCTGTGAGTGTGCTGGTGTGCACATGTGCATGCACACATGTAAACACACACACACATACACACAGAGACAAATACATGTCCCAAAGGATTCTGGGAATTATATAAGCTATTTTAGGATTACATGGAATAAAAGTGTATGTAAGGGGAGAGGTAGGAATACTTTCTGGTGGTACTGAGTTGATTATTACATGTATGACACAAAACACCTACATTTGTATTTGTATTCAAGATTTGTATTCTCTCTTCCCTAGTTTAAGTAGATGAGTTGGATTTTGCAGAAAACTTGTGTTTTTCTATTCTGTTGGAATCATTAGTTTGGCTCCCTGTGTTCCACTTGAGAAGAGGGGCTAACGGACTTATAAGCCACAGGACTTGTCAGTATAGAAATTGTCCCAGGTAGTATAGGAACTATCACCTGGACATGCTCATAAAAGGGGGAAAAAAAAAAAAAACTTAGCAAAAATTCTGGCTTATGTAGCTGTATCTCTCATTAGAACATACAACTGTAAAATGTTTTATTCAGCATACTTACTATTTTTCTTTTTTATTTGACTCACACTGGGCTGCATGCAATTTCAGGACTAGCTGGAGACTATATAGAGCAAGAAATGAGAAAGGAAATTTATGTTTTTACAAGGGAAACAACATGAGCGCTAAGCTAAACCAGTTGGAAGTGAATCTCTGGCTCCCTAGTAAGAGTAACTGTTTTACCACTGAGGTTGTTCTCATATATGTTTACAAAAAATTCACTTTGGCCTTGTGGAAAGGGCCAGTAGCTATTGAGTATTTTTTCTGGGCCTGGTCTTACTCTAAAGGCTTTATTTATTTATTTATGTTACAGATGTTTCTCCTTTTCCCCCCCACTGATACCCCCTCTCCCTCCTCACCCTGTCCCCAGCTTTGTTGTCCATGTCCATTGTTCATGCATATATGCATATAAGTTCTGTGGTTTATCCCTCTCCCCTCTTCTGGTGGTTGTCAGTCTGTACTCCACTTCCACGTCTCTGGGACTACCCCATTCCTCAGACAGTTATGTTCATTATATTCCACAAATAAGTGATATCATGTGATATTTGTCTTTCTCTGCTTGGCTTGTTTCGCTTAGGATAATACTCTCCAGGTCCCTCCATGTCATCTCAAAGGATAAGAGATCTTTCTTTCATACAGCTGCATAGTACTCCATTGTGTGTATATGTACCACTGCTTTTTTATCCATTTGTCTACTGATGGACATTTGGGCTGTTTCCAGATCTTAGCTATTGTAAATAGTGCTGCTACGAACATGGGGGTACATATATTCTTTCTGATTGGTGTTTCAGGCTTATATTCCTAGAAGTGGGATCACTTGGTCAAATGGCAGTTCATTTTTTTAATTTTTTGAGGTAACACCATATTGTTTTCCATAGTGGCTGTACCAGTCTGCATTCCCACCAGCAGTGTACTAGAGTCCCGTTTTCTCCACACCCTCGCCAACACTTGTTTGATGATTTG